ACAAGTGGAAAGAATTTCTGATTGGGGGTGGGAACAGCAGCTGGTTTTTTGAAGGTTTCTGGGGGCTGAAATTCGAAGCGCTTAAGCACAAGAGGATATACGAGCTCCTCGGTGATCATACTCATGGAATCGATAGGGTGAAGGTTGATCCTTTTGAAGGAACTTTGCTTGGAGAGGCAGTGATAGACCTGTTATTATTTGAACGCTATAAGAGGCCCTTTATTAAACTTTTAAATATTCAAACAGTATCCTGTTAATAAGCGAGAACTAACAAAATCCACATAGTCCTGTCTAACCTTGAGCCCACGAGTTGTGTTGATCTATCCAATGTGAGCTGAAACCGATTGACATTTAGTCAAATAAAACAAACCGCATTCTGACATTCAGCAAACCAGTCACGTGACTTTTTTCAACTGTACTTGTTCTCCTATTCAAGCGATCTCAAATGAGCGAATGGCTTCTTTTCATCATTCAGTTCAAATATGAGCAATTTCGGTTCACTGCTATGTTGTGATGCAGGAGGTTGGCGATTGGAGTTTTCGAGCTGAGTGTGTAGATTGAGATGAGCTGTTGTTGGGATCGATAAACTTTCTGGACTGTTGACTAAGTTGGCTTCGATGAGGAAAGCTACTCATAAGGTTTCCGAAAACTCTTCGACATCCCACGACCAGCTTTATCACTATTGGAGCTTCGAATTTGACGTTCCGGACTACTCGATTGGCTGTGTGTAAAGCCTATCGATTGCATGCCTGTTTGTCTGAAGAAGATGAATATAAAACTGCCGTATTTTAACTTGAAAGTCGACCGCTGATCTCGGGAGTGAACGCTGAAAACCTTTGCTCTCGGAGGAATCTCATGGTCTAAGCGACACCTCGTTTCATTAATGTTAAAATAGCGATGTTGTATCAGATGTGTAGGATGATGACAAGTAGACTGTTGGGGGTTTTGGGATGACCAATCAACTCAGAGGAACGCAGACCACAACGCAACAAAGATCATAAACGGACCAATAGATTCACGAAAAACGCTGCCTCCAGGTGGCCAATCACGCTAGAATGTGACAGATCCTCTTCAAATACTATATGAACGCACGCATGGAAAGAAGTACCCACTCAACTGAGCACTGATGATTTCTCCTCGCATGGTGATGAACTGCAGACTTGAAATGTCTGCAAGTCAATCGCCGAGCTCAGCGAACAGGTAGAATGTGTTAGAACCGCTTTCACCGATCAGTATCCAGATGCCTACTAGTAAGTATCTGGTGGTCAGTAATTGATGTAACTGCGCTTCAAGTTTGTCTCCTTGGATCAAACCGTTGCGAGTATTCTGTGGAAAAGAAGTAAGCCTGTATTACATGCCTTTTCGAACCGAAGAAGTTCCGCCTCCCTTGACCTTGGTTGTCGAACGTATGAACAAATAACCAAGCAGCTGCTGTTTTTGCAGGTAAGCTGATTCACAAGCATGAACACGTTCGCCTGTTCAGGTGTGATGATTCAGGTGTGTCCAGCGTACGCTGGTCGAGAAGGGGCAACACGCTTGCCTCGCATGTCACGTGTCCGAAGTTTAAAACCAACGTTGCTGATTGGGTCTAGTGAAGGCGAAACTTGAATCCATAATTTTTTCGTTTCGGTGTGGACTCACTAGAACAACAGTGCCACAGCACTTCAAGGACTGTTCAAATGAGAATGATGTGAGCGCGAAAAATGAATTCTTCTAGTGGAAACCAGCTCCAGTCAGTTCACACAAAACAAGAGAGAAAGAGGGCCTCAACAGCAATGATCGATAATGCTGCATGATTTTTGCGAGCTTTAAGGTGTCCAGTTCATGAGTATACAGGGTAACTCTGAAACAAGAAATAGGGCAAAGCAAATGGGACCCTCTTCATATGTATTCCATATCAAAACACATTCTTGGATCCTGTTTTCCGTAGTTTCAGGTAGTGATAACAACCAAAAAGGGCTTTTCATATCGTTGAATTCGAATGGATAATTAATTATTTAACAATTTGCCCATGAATTAAGATCAGTCTGTATGTTGGCTCCTGTCCGTTTTCAGAAAACAAAGAGATAAATTCAGACCAAAGAAGGTGGCGTAAGTTTACGCATTTTTCGACTGTGTTCTGTAAGGTTTCCCTCCTCGGAGAGCACACCAATTGTGTCTAAGACCTGAATTCCAGGAATGAAACGCTCTTCGGGGCGAACTGACCGTTATATGTCAATAGTTTCCTCATAGAAATATCTTGGTTACTGTCCATGAGCAAAAACCAAGAGACAAATGTCCAGTGAATTTTTTGGCTGGCTTCTAGGTCTTTCTGGGTGAGGTGCCGTAAGGACGTAGAACAATTGCTCATATTCCAGCACTTGTGAAATCTTTGGTGATGGGGAGATTTGCTAAAGATTTCGTCCCGACAGTGAAGCCAATCTATGCTGAAAAGCCAAGCAGCACTATACAGCTGTTTCATCCTTACTGGATATCACCATCATTGCCCATCTCACGAAACCGCAGACAGTTTCGAACTCGTGAACACTTAACTGTTTGGCCACGAGGGGCTGATCAGCAGGGTGATTAGCTCTCTGTAAGACAGCTGCACTCATCCTTGAGCAGCAGACATCACATCACGTGATCAGACTTGTTGACTGGTTGCCCGAGTGAAGACCCCTCAGAAGGGAGTGTCGCTCATATTGTGAAATTATTCCTTGTCTGAGCTATTTATCGATTGATGCTGATGGGGAGGTTAAATATTTTTGAATAGAGAAAGTCACCTAGTAATGCTAGCCAAAGTGTGAGTCACGAGAGATGTGCCAAGCGAAGTTTACCTAACCTGACAACAGCACGGCTGTTAAAACCGAATAAACGTCAGATTGTGGCTTCTTCCCATTGCGGCGTTTGGGTCGGACGTGTGCTAATTACCGTTTACCGGTGACCTGAAAAGAAAAATGGTAGCCGATGGGGTCAGGACAACGCTGTTTAGAGGTTTGCCGAAAATGAATCTGGTGTTTAGCTTGTTGTGTCTTGATGGACGATCGTGCAAATCTGTATCGGTCCCTTGGCCTTCTGCTCCACCAACTATGGTATATCAAAAGGCACGGTAGCTCTACACAGCCCTTTATGGAGATAAAAGGAGAATCAGTATATTTTTATTTATAGGGTAATCACAGTGTTCCACAAGGTCGTGCTAGAATCACCGTGAGGGGGCGAGAAGCGTCGAGTCAAAGATACTCGATCAGGATTGGCTAGCATTCTGACCAATCAGGGCATGCCTTCGTTTGGTCCGTGTCCTGCACGTGACACATCCGTCCAAATGATGTGATGTTCGGTTATTAGGGACGGCGGGCCTCCGTACAGAGCTGTTAAACCATTTCGGTTGTTCTGTTGATGCGTTCGGTCCACAATGCCTTCGGAGACCCCGATTTGTGCCAGCTTAGCCCCGTGGTTTGTGTGTACTTATAACTGCTTCGAACTTTCAGGATAGAAGTCTCTTGGATACCTCTTAGGAATTTTTCATCATGGAATCATGGTAGGCCAAAACGACTGATCATACTGAGGAGGAAAACTCGTTGCGTCATTCAGCGCCAAGTTCAGAGTGAAAATAATTTATTCTGGACTTCATTCAAAATGTGTCTATGTGACTTGGAAAGAAAGGCAATTTTCTGTTGCTCTGGTGGGGTGGAAAATCCGTCTGGAGTGCCAGAAAGTGCTCCTCTATTCGGCTTTTTTCTTCTCTTGAGGAAATCACATCCAAAACGAACTCTATGCTCGATGAAACCGTTTTCTTGAGGATGATGAGTATGGTACAATATTGCTCCTCTATCGGCTTTTTTCTTCTCTTGAGGAAATCACATCCAAAACGAACTCTATGCTCGATGAAACCGTTTTCTTGAGGATGATGAGTATGGTACAATATTACTGATTCAAAACGCGTTGAATGGCGAAGCCACAAACGAAACGATTGCCATTCGTCTGTTTGACCTGGCTCAGTAGAAGCATATCTAATCCCTTCCATTGAACTGACTCACGACAATAACATCAGTTAGTCTGCTGTCTGGACACTTGTCCCCATTCTCTCTGATTGCTGAAATGTAATTGGAGCAAGTTTTGGCCCAGGATTTCGCTTCTTATAATTCGAAACCTGATACAAACTGTGTAATGCGCACTCGACTGAATGAGAACACAAACGACGGGTTCATTTCGGCCCACAAGAATCCGAAATTACCGTGTAGAGCTCCGCGGTGCTACAGATGCAGACACGTGGATTGTCTGTCATCTGAACACTGTTGCTTTACTGCATCTATACAAAGAACACAGTCTGAGTTGCTGCGACAGAACTTGGACATTTATTCAGCAGAGTAACGGTGATGACTGCAGGTCAGCGGCAGTTAATGTGGGCAACGCGGCAGCTAAATAGGTCACCGTGGGACGTCGTTGGTAAGCATACATGCCCAAGTAGATACCTTGGCTCAAGCAAGAGTGCGCTGTCTGCTCTTTCAAAAAAGACAGCATGTGATCAGTCGATAAATCGTTTCCAATGATGTGTGTTCAGCTCACTATGACCGCTCCCTTTTGTCATTTGCATAACTATAAAAAAATAAAAGTCGTTCAACTGTAACACGTTGTTGATGTAAAACTAACAATCCGCTCGAACGGAGCACGAGTGATGGGATACTGCCAGGTTTCCTAAACCGAGATAGTAGCAGCCGAGATGCATAGGTTGGATTCGAGCCACGAACCATCCTGCTAATAACTTTTCGCCTTGACCAGTGAGCTGTTGTTGTATCTTGCGCGGTGTGATGGCCGAGCTATTGGTTACGCCTGCAGTGCGCCTGCCAGACTACGCGATAGGGAGAAGACAGAGAACTTGGGACACGGTGGTATTGCCAGGACAAAACGTACAGAGCGTCTGCGTAAATATACAGGATGACTACTTGGCCAAATATGGTCGTTCACTTGTTCGCTCCGTACAGCCAATGGTTGTGTTCCGGTCGTGAACATTCTCACGCCCGCTACGCTAGTCGTGTGTTGCTAAGCCGTTTGGTGAGAGCCGCCAACTCACCTACTTTCCGGACGTGTCGAACCGATGATGACCTTGGGGATGCGTCACTCTCTGCACATGTACTTTTTCTTCTGCGCTTATAAGCCCTGACAGCTGTCTTGAGTAAAATGGCTGAATATTTCGAATTCTGACCCCAGTCTTCGAGTAATCAGTGGGTCTTAAAAAAAAACAGGTATCTGCAGTCGATTACAGAAAAACGTGACAGTCAGATAAATCTATCAAGAATAAAGAGGCAGATTTCCTCGAGGGGATGCATTACTTGTCAGGTTGCTGGGCCCCCCTTGACAGCTTACGACAGATTTCAGCCTTCTTGGGGCTCAACAGATAGGTGCCGTCCTGAGTTCAGATTGAACTCAAACTGTGCGAGACGTGTGAAAAATACTCATTCGCAGATAACATGGATGATCACGGAAACTCAGCTGATACCCAGCTGAATTTTTCCCTTGTGATATTCATCAAAGGGATGTGAAGCCCTCAAGAAAAAGGTACACTGTAGTATGCTGAACGACGTTCCACCACAGTTTAGTCTCCCTTAAAACCAGTTTAATGTACAAATGAGTGTATTTTACCGGAGGGACAGGTTATTCGAAAATTAGACCGTTGGACTACGTACAGCAAGCAGCATTTCCAGCAATTGGCCACCGACCACCCAATAGGGTGACCGGTTGCGGTTGCTCCCCTAGATTTCTCGTTTTACCGCTTATAAAGTAAGTTTCCTGTTAGTGGATGCGGACTGCACTATTCCGAAACGGCCGCTCCAATGGCAGCGTTTGAGGGGTTGTAACTTGTTGAGTGTACACGAACTAGCAAGAAGTACACTGTTCTACGGTAAGTCTCCTGTTAGTGAATGCGGACGGCACTATTCCAAAACGGCCGCTCCAATGGTAACGTTTGAGGGGTTGTAACTTGGTGAGTGTCCACGAACTAGCAAGAAGTACACTGTTCTACTTCTCCTTAATTTCAAACGTGAAACAGTGCATTTGTCTACGAATTTTTCTTCGCTGTTGACGGGTAAGAACTCATTTTGTGAGTGCGACATGAGGTGATCACCGATCATATCTGGTCATCGTAGATGGCACGCTCTGAAGACGGGGTTCTCCTACTGTGAACTGAGTTTCCGAATTCCCGATATTCAAGTTGAGGACAAATCTGTCCCTGCGCACTGACTAGGCTTTTCGTTTTGTGAAATTAAGGTTAACGTCCCGGGAAGTAATGGAAGACGAGACTCCAGAAGTGTGTATTCTTGACCGACATTCGCGATAGGTGGCTAAAAATGGTACTAAACTGCTTAGAACCTTACTGTTTTTCATCAGAGTCGCTCAGATAGAATGCGGCAGTAATCCTCTGTATTCCAACACCAGTTGATCGCTTTGTTAATATTCAAATGAGATTGATTTCCATCCCTTTTAGGGAACGTGCTGAGAAGAAGCAGGAACCAATCAAGACGTGAGTTTCATCATCCTACTAACTTATCCAGCTAATCTAACTGAGCTGCGGTTAATGAACCCGTTGTTTCGGTCTGTTCTACTGAATGTACATCAAACTTATGTATATTTGTGGTGTACTACTCATAAGGTTGTTGAAGATCCGTCGACAGCTCAGGACCGGTTTCGCCCTTCTTGGGGCTCACCAGGTCCCCGAGTTTCCGTCAACCTTGTGTTCTGCTTGAAACCAAATTGCACGAAATAAGCGAATATACACCCGCTTGAAAACTAATTTGGTTTTTCGAGAGACCCACCTGGAACCCAGCTGAACCTCTCGTTTGTGATGTTTCTAAATTAGTTTGCAAATGAGTGTTTATTCGCTGCATCAAACTTGTTCAGCTAGAAGTTATTTTTTCGCTGTTTCATTTTCATCTGACCATATAATTGTCTAGTTCATTCAGAAAGGTTATAGATCTGATAAGGATCCAGAGCATATAAGCTTCAACTGTGTAACCGTTCTTGTCAAAAAAGAGCACAGTCTAAGAGAAAATCCCTCAGCGAACCGACACATGTGACAGTCCAAGACGTAGACCTGATCTCCAAAGTCACAGGGTTTTATAGAATATCGATAAAAGTAAACCTATCCATCCACGTGCCCACAGACCTTGATCATGCTATTGATTATGTCGCACAACTATTTCAGGTAACTCCCGGAGACCCACTTTTATGGTACCCACAGTTGTCGTGTGAACAGTAAGAAAAACCTGTCATGGCGGAACTGTGGAAACGACCTATGGAAGTTCTTTCCGATTGGCAGTCGATAGTTATGCAGGTTTCAGTAAACCAGTGATCGTTTAGTGCAAACCCAAGTTATGTATGGTTATGCTCAATTCTATTGACCTGATTCAGCGCAGACTACAGCCAAGGTTACTAGACATCTCACAGTAACTCACGGATAAAAATGGCCTTCTAGCACTTTGCTGCGTGTGAGAGCACACTGTGGAATTTGACTGTTTTGTCCAACTAGCGCATTACATAAAAGTAGTTGGAATCCCGGTCGGGTCGGATTATGCGCTGATGGTGATAAGGACGAAACTTATGTCCTGACTATTCAGAGAAACCGTGTCAGTATAGAACGGGAAATTTGGATGGAAGCATGTAGGTCTCATGTTCCTAATCGTCTGTCCCCCCTGGGGGTACCCCCGGAACTTTCGAATATATTACCTTCTCCGAAACATTTACTGCCATTTTCTCTCATGAAAGCCTAAATACAAGCGCCCAAACAAAATGCCATTTAAATAAAAACAACAAACTATGAGGCGCCATTTTTAAGGGATCAAAACACTAGTAGTTGTATGGACGTAATACACCAGTCATAAGACTGGGCCGGTTTTGCCCTTCTTGAGGTAAGCATGGTCCCCAAGTTTACAGTACCCTTATGTTCCACTTGGACTCAAAATGATTAGCCTCAAGCATGGCAGAACAGGTCATAGGTTACCGAAATGTTTTCAGTATCCCTATGAGTAGTGTGTTACGTCCACACCATGCGTTGCGATGTAGGCGAATCGTACCAACTGAAGCATGAGGCGGTGCAGCACATTCAGCTGAAGTAGAGCGTCACAGGCGAGATATTAAGTTAGATCTCCTTTGAAGACCAAAAGGGTATACAGCTGAGCACATTTCACTAAAGTACTTCCAGTTAAAAATTCCTAGACGTTTCTGTTGAGCTTCCTGATAAAATCGATTCACCAGTGAGGCTTATGGCAGATGAATGTCCTTGAGTTCCTGTGGCTGATAGAACTAACCTGGAAACCTTACAGTTTGCAGCAACGGGGATCGTTGCAGTAACGATCATCATCATCATCATCATCATCTCATCATCATCATCATCATCATCATCATCATCATCATCATCATCATCATCATCATCATCATCATCATCATCATCATCATCC